TCTGGATTTAGCCATGTATGCCTGTGGCACTGTGAAGTGCTCTTGTTGATGTCATCTGTACCATGTTATCTCATTCTCTGCTCTGTTTCCAGTAATGAAACACACAGTCATTAGAGGGACTGTCATCACAGATTAGACTCTAGGGATCAGATGGGACATGCCTCTTCCTCTGCACAGTGGAGCTGTACAATTAGTGTTGAGTTGAAAATGCTGTTTTCACTGTCTCTCACATCCTGTGTTCATCTCAGGTTACCGGTTTGTACATATGGCTTTGTGATGCCCCTGTGGACAAAAATGATTACAAAGTGCTAATCCTTTTTACGGCCCACACTGCTTTTATAGTGTTAGCATCATTCCGTTATACTTTGGTGATAGAGAACCAAAACCCTGATGTCACAGCCAGCCCCTTTAAAACTGTCCTGCACAGCAGTGTGCATACAAACTCTTTCTGTTATCCATAATAGACGAATATCTTTGCAACTGTTTAGGTTCTGCTGTCTAAAAACATCTATACCATTTGACCCACCCTGTTCATTCTCATAGCTCGCAAGTCGACTGCCCTTGGTAATTAGCATTATTCATTTGTACGGATTGGGAATGAGATTTTCTGAGGAGATGCAGAGCCATTGCAGAGAATGCATGCATGACCAGGGTATGCACTTTTTGACTAACTTGTCAAACTGGTTTAGCTAACATTATGAAGTGTTCACTGGCATCACAGTAATTGCTGAGACATTGTTAAAGTTATTTGTTGCCACTATGCTGTAGGCTGGCATTGCCAGACCAATTTGCGAATGCAAAATAATCTGACTCTGACTTAAAATTTCCAGGGGGTGTTATCAACAGGCGCAGACCACAATGCCTCTGGACACAATTGGATAGACCTACATCCAATCAGAGCAACGAAATATGGGATGTTGCAAAGATAATGGGAAATTCAACTTATCAAATCCTGTTGGAATTACGGCAAAGTTTAGTTTGTTTAATAATGACATGATTCAACAGAAACTGTTCCAGAACAGCGGCAGCCGTCTTCATTGTTGACGAAAATGCCTCTAAAACCAAAAAGGTCACCCTTCTCTGTACATTCTCAAACCTGCCCCATATTTGATAAATGGTTGAGATTGACCCAACCAGATCCAGTACTGGTTGAAATCTGTCCGAATGGGAGGGGGCGTCTGCCAGAGCAAATAAAACATGAGCTTGCAGTCCCTAGGCTAGCTGTGCTGCTATTTAAAGTCAAAATGTCTGTCTGTGAAAATGGTCTGTGAACCTGATTAATTTGGAAACAATAAAAAGCAAGAGATCAAGATTCAGGTTAGCCATTTTTATTAAGTCAGTCAGTCAGTCAGACAAGACATGTAAAGTACACAGTGGACAGAGGTTTGACAGAGAAAAAAGAAACAGATGCTGCTCCTCAGAACAGTGAAAAACAGAAACTAATGAAAAACATGGGTAAAAATAAACATGCAGTACATGTTCATGATAATTATTTCAAGTTCAACTCAGCTCCTTTTGTTCGCAGTTTCTCCAGCATTGTTAAATAAAGGCAAGCAATTTTGGCAGGAGGGACATTGTTTTTTTTTTCAGCTTCCAAAAGGGCGGCACAGCAGAAACGTTTGAGAGGTTTTAGAGATAGTCATGCAGCCCCACTGAGGTTTACAGACAGGAATCAGAGGCACATGCAGGGATCTCTTTAATAATCCGACCCAGGCATACACCAACATTAATCCAGTTAATTGAGGGCAACAATTGGATAAACACAAGACTGTGAGAACCTTGACCAAAGCTGCCTTGATGTGGGAGAGAGAAGCAGCCTGCTGTGGCTGTGATAAAAAGGCCTCATGTTTGTTGAAAATACTGCACCTTTGCAGCCCCTCTGAACCACTACAACTACATATTAATAGAGGCTGCCCCCTTTTTAAAATTGTACAAAAGCGTGGATGTGAAATGGCAATTTTTTTACCATTTAATTTGACTAGATGTTATTAAAATTTCTTTTACACTAATGTCAAAGTGGCAGCAAATGTTTACAAAGTGATCTAAATTCTGCGGTGGCTGACCAGACCCAAGTCAATTCAAAAACACGCATTAAAATCCTAAACAAATGTAATGGAAATGTGCTGCAAATGAAAAAACACATACAGAAAGCCAAAACAAATCCATGAACAGCACACTGCAACACACTGCTAATACAGAGACAAAATGTTAAACAATGGAAGTTCTCTGGTCTCTCGGGGGAGCATTAGGTGGAACAGCTTGATGTTCAGACCTTATTGAGAAAACAGTTCATTCTATACATGGACTATATGAGTATACATGTCCCACACAGTTTCACATTATAAAAGTTGCAGTAACTTCATGGTACAAAAATAATATTAATGATCTTGATTTTTGTTGCTTTAGTTTTGTTTTTGGTTGTTTCCTTGTGTTTTTCTTATTACAATGATCAGGAGTAGCACTCCTGATTTTGTTGTATTGTGTACAAGAACAAGACAATAAAGGCTTCCTATTCTATTCCATTGGTGGTCCCGCTGTGACCTTCCGTTGTGTTGATTGGGTATGCAGCATTTTTCTGGCATTTGTTTTCAGAGTTTGTGTATTTTTGATTTTGCATTCTCTATATCTGCTGTTAATTTTGTTTTGGCTTTCTGCAGCAAATTTCCATTGTTTGTTTTGGATTTTTTTATGGATGTGTTTTTGAAACACATGGAAATGTTTTGATTCATTGCAGCAGGTTTGCCCTTGACAGCCACCGTAATATTCAGTAAAAAATAAACCCTAAAATAAATGATGGCACCCATACCAAAATGTCTAATTCCATCCACTGTGATACAGTGTGTTTACAAAATGAAACATGAAAAAGTCCAAGGGAGATTGTGCTCTTCCTTTAGGAACTGAACTGAAAGTTCTTGATGAAACGTGTTGAAATCTTATCAACAGACCTTTGATGTGTGGATAGAGCTGCTTGGTTTGTTGTGTGTTCAGCTCCTTAAAGAATAGAGACACTCTGCCGACAGCTTAACCTCAAACTCAACAGTTTAGAAGTGTTTCCCTTGCCTCTGTGCGTACTGTAGTGCTCTAGTGTCTTGTGTTTTGCGTGTGTGGGGCTTAGTGAGCGTGGATTATCCTGGCTACAGTTCCAGTTTAACAGCCAATAAACACCTCATGGATCATAAAATATAATTTTCTACCAGAATACAAAGTTCATAAGAAGACAAAACCATGTTGTATATGCTCATATAATTGGCAGTTCTGAAAGCACAAATAACATGTAATAGAGGCTCTTTAATCACAGAGCCTTCATGTCAGGACATGCTTAGAGCGTCTGTTTTCACTCAGATTATGACTTGTTTTACGATTGATTGATAACCGGCAATAAAATAATTTGACACGAAAGAAGTCCACTTACCCAGACTGAAAGTATTTGTGACACTCCAAAGTTGACAGACCTATCTGCCTGCTATAACTGTCATCTGTCAGTATTTTTATGCATTCATATATTGAGACTTAAACAGAGATGGTATGGATGGTCCCAGCATGTGCCACTCAAATAATGCAGTTCTTTTTAAAGGTACTCTGTGGATTTCTTTGATAAACAACATTTGGTTTACACTCACTGTTTCTCACTTTTATTCACTCATATTGTGTTTCCAGGGACAGAGCCCAACTTACACAGCCCAAGTCACATTTTACAGGAATCCTTAATTGTCTGAAGGACAAACTCAGGGAAAAGAAGTCCCTTCCTTTGCTGTTGTTCCATAACCAGTGAGCTTCATAGCTAATCATCCACACACAGCTACAAAGCCATCAGCCTTTTTCTTTGGCACCAACCAGAACTTCCATATTCCTATGCATAAGCCCAACTGCACAACCCACTGTATTACACCGCCTGTGAAGAAGAATGTAATCTGTGCTATTTTGAAGCAAGGTGTTTCCTCTTGTTAAACGCATACTCTTTGTCTCTCGCTGCACGTTACAACAAAAAGCATATTCATGACCAGAGTTGATAGACATGGGCCTGGTGCTGCTGTACTCTTCCTCTGTTGCATCAGTAGAAATGTGCTCCCTTGTGGCTAATAAAAATTAAAAGTACTAAAGAAGACAGAAGTTCTGTGTCCATGTTGCCCTCTTTAAACCACTGTAGTCACGGTATTTAGTGGTAATAGAAATATATGATATTTAATCACAGTATAGATTTAAAATAGTATACAGTATAACTTATGTGGTCTAATGTTCTAAAACAAAAATCACAATAAATCATAGTTGTGAATGGTAATACATAAGAGTTAGACAGAAATGCATTCCAGTGAGCCTTTGAGTATAGGACTGTATTGGCAAGAATCTGGTGATCCGATATCACAATACAGTTTAATATGTTGTCATATATATTGTGATGCTGTAAGCAAGGCCATATATTTGATCAAAAGTCAATGGTGTCTTTGAGAGTAGTACAGTATCGCAAAATATCACAATACGATATTTGTCAATATTCGTAACCCCTAGTAGAGTCTGAGATTTTGAATGACAGCTTGATGTAGCTTGAGTTGGTGTATTTTAATGATGATGAGAAATCAGATGAGACAGGCAGCCCTTTTCCTTTTAGTCACTCTACCCTCCCTGTGGTTAGACCAAAACCACAGAAGTGTGTAACAGAAGAACTCATCAAACCACTCAGTGTGTCTGTGCTGTTTGAGGTGGTTTTGACTGTGTTGCAATATTTTTATGTATTTTATGTCTGTGTGTGTGAAGGGTTAGCTTCACAGTACAGCAGGCACTCTAAACCAAATCTGCCCCCTCTTTTTGGCTCTCATTGCGGATTATTTCAGCACAGCTCACATGATCCCACGAGGACTGTACATGGGTTTTACAACCTGGACAGTAGGGATGTCAGTCCACTCTACCCATTCCTCCCTGTTTTCCTGTTTGCCTGCCTACTATGAGCGGAGCACACGCTGGCTTGTTTTCAATACATGTGTTTCCTGTTCTTTTCCCGGCAGCTGAGAGGATGAAGGGGAGGAATCCTGGAAGTTTTTGGAGTTTGTAGCAAGAGAAGAAACAGCAGCACTGGCAGCCCTTCCAGCTCCTGCTCGACACCTCTGTCTGCAGCCGTGCTCACCATGAGTTAGAGGGCAACGGAGACCACCGCCAGAGCTGCCTTCCCCACCAATCTGGAGCACCGTGTCTGACCGTGACAGCAGCATCACTCGCCCCGCTTCATGAGCCAGCAGGATGCGGCTGAGGTCCTCGCACTGTCCGAGCGCCTCCTCATAGCTTCACATAAGGGACAAGCTGACAATGTGGTCCAGCTCATCAACAAGGGCGCAAAAGTAGCCGTCACCAAGGTGAGTGAGTGGTCTAAGTGTGATAATCATAAGATGCTGGTGGATACTTTTCTGCATTTGTTCTGCTTGACGGACTAATTGTGACAGCTCTGTTGTTTGGGCCTGTATTATAGTGTCTCCATCTGTTGGTTGTTTTTCATATGTTGTCAGAGTAAATTGCCTAATCCTTGCAGGTCGTTAGGCTTTGTTGGAAATGCAGACAACAACAGGCTGAAGGAAGGAACAAGCTTTGTTCCTTGAGAAGTAGTTCCTGAGACTAAAAGTTGTGTGTATTTTAGGTGGGAATGTGGCTTTAGTCTGTGTTTTGCTAAGACATCCCTTCATTAGACTGCGTGTGATCTGAGAGGTAAGGAGATACAAAGATGTTTCTGTTGCATCCTTGCAAGCATTCGTAGGAATTCCCTCATGGAAATTTGTTTTTTATTTCTGTCAATTACAGGTCACTCTTTTTAGTGTTGGATTTCCTAAATTTAGCCTACCTTGCAGTTTCATTTTACATAAGAAAGCAAATCAGAACAGTTACATGGCATGAAAAAAATCTTTTACAATGATGGGCTACTGGGCTGGATTGTTTGAATTTTTTAATATTAGAAGCAATTTGATTCCTGATATTAAATACCAAAGCAATACTTTTTTAAATACCTTACTTTCAGTCTGTCAGTCAGTCAAACATCCTCATGCATTCTGTGTGCTTATTGAACTTTTAGGGGCGGGGGGCCCTACCAGCATGTGACATCACAAAAAGTTTTGAAGCCAGTCCTGGTCCAGTATGCAACCTGTACAGTGTGATGTAAAAACTTGAAGCCACCAGTGCTCATCCACTGAGAATGGACTTTACAGTGAAGGAGGAGACATCTTGTGTCCAGCAGCAAAACTTTAGAAATGAACATTAGCATATTCAGAGATTCTAAAGAATTTATAATGAGGTAGAAGGAGGAGATTACTTTGTAAAGATTTGAATGTAAAAATTATACTTTTTTCTTGCACATTGTTGTTCAAAGAAGGCTATTTGTATAAATGTCTTAATATGTGTCAGGAGGGGCTCTTTAACATTTGACACAAAAAAATCTCAAATCTCTCCAAGGTTTTTGCAAGAGCCCTCAACTGTAGCCTGAACTACACATTGTCAAGGCTGATACTGATATCAATATTTGGGAGTTCAAACAGTCAGATAATGACATATCTTCCAACGTTTGTTTTTACACAACACATTACATAAACAATTTTGATCTTGAAATCAACATGTCAGCACTCTCTGGTGGACACACTTTTGGATTTACAGTCAAAATTACCATACTTACTTCTGTACAGTATGTATTTTTGGCCTCTAGTGAGTCTCTCACATCAAGACAATAACAAAAACATAGTTCGATGACATTGTGGTGTAGCGTGGGATCATGGGAACATGTACTGTTGCGTGAATAAAATGACAGATTTCTTTGAGTTTGAACATTGTTGGAAATATCTGAGATATTGTAAGCATCCAACTCAACAAAATATATAACATTGGTCTAGTGTTTATAAACATTTTAATGCAAATGTTGTATATATAATTTAGTCTTTAAGACCCTTTTACTGTATGGTGAGTTCATTCTCATTCCTAAATACAAAACAGTTTCATCAGCTGAGAGTGAATGTAACGTTGATTTAGCTGAGTGTGAATTGAGCCATCATATATTTTCTTTGCTGAGTAACCTCCAGCAAAAGTTAGCAGTGTGTTGTATACAGATGTTCAGCATTATCACAGCTGAGCTGCTGCTTGGCCAGATGGATTACTGGCACAGCTTTCAGCTCAGGACACACACACACACACACACACACACACACACACACACACACACACACACACACACACACAAACACTCTCACACACGTGTGTGACAGTCAGAACTGGCAACAAAGTCCCCTGAGGCCTTTCTTTATTATTTCATCCCGGCTCTTACATCTTCTTGCAAACACACCAAGGTTCAAAGGTCATTTACTAATACACAGGATGTGATGTAACACTCTCTTGTGCCAGTTTGGGCCAGTGTACATCTAAAACAATGGCCTGGATGTTAGATGTGGAGAGGTAATTATACTGTAGGCAGGGCACCTTTTTTCTCATGTGGCAATCTGTTGGGACTGAGTTCGAACCCAATTTATGTGACAAAGTATAGGAAATGGTACCACTTGACTGTTTGAAAGGTTTATTTATTCTTAATACAATTTGTAAATTTTTATAAGCAAGGTTTTTGTAGCGCTGCTTGTTTTTAGAGTGAAAACAGTCTGTTTTTGAGAACTTTTGCTCCTTTTGTCAAATCAAATCAAATAATTTTGTGAAGAAAATTCTGGCAACCCCCGTCTTTTTGCTACCATGCTCTGTGGTGTCAGATGTGAATGTTCTTCTTGATCTTTCTCTGGCCGACCACTGACTCCTGGTTAATGACCATTGACCTCTTCCAGTGGATTTTGGTCCTTGCTGTTTCACTGATGTAGTGCTAGCATATTCAACAAACTAGATTTTGCTTAGCCCCACCCTCCGTAGTTACTGTTGGTATGCTTGTCAAGTTGTCCATTCTAGCATGGCACGTATACCGCGTTCAATAATAACAATGGCAGATTCAATTGTTCTTTGATTTCACGCAGTAGTAGTCAACAAACTTGAAATTTGCCATCTAAAATAACAAATGTAGCTAGCTAATTATTAATTGAAGAGTTGCTTGACTTGTTTTGAAACAAGAACCCAGTAAAAAGGGTCTAAAATATACGTTTTCTGGCTATATACATGATTTTGTGCTAAAAGACTGAGGCTAAAGCTGAATGTTCCTGTAAAAAGTCAACCTCCCCCATTCATCTTCCATATAATCCAAACCTGCGGCCGGATGGAAGCTTCCTGAAGAGGCATGTGTGATGGGTCTGCCACTACTGTACTGGCCTGCTTTCTGGCTCTCGTATTGTGCAGAACCCTCACAGGAACCTGTTCCTGGCCTGTGAGCTGCCTGGCTGTTTGCACAATGCGTTCCAGTCTGGTGTGGGCAGAGGATGCTGGTTACCACACAGTGATGGAGGAGGTGAGGACACTCTTGCGGGTGGCTCTATTGAACTGCGAAATTTCTGGGAGATTGTCAACTGAACACCATACTGAGACACAGTGTTCCTGTAGGCCAACTCATGATTGTACTTGATGGAGTCTGTATTCCACTCACAGATGGGGTGGGGTACCTGCAGTTGGTGTGTAGACACGCTGGGAGGATGGTATTAAAGGCCTGACATAGGTGCTGGGTGTGTACAGGTGGTTGATCCACAGAGAGGCTGGCTCAGTAGGTGAGCTATAAAGGGTCTTAGACCTGTGACATCACATTCTTTTTCATGGATCAGTGTGGGCTAGGTTTGTCAAAAATATAAATACAGAATATGTATATAAATGCATGCCAGGGCTAAGTCCTTGCTGCAGCGACCATTGGTTTGGGTCTAGCCTGTTGTTGCATGTCATCGGCTATCCCTCGCCCCCTTCCTTTCTATCTTGAGCTGTTCTTTCAGTTAACACAGATGTAGTTGTATATTGCAACCCCCACGCTTCATCTTCCCCTCCCAAGCATGAAGGATAAACTATGGTGGCTGCCACGTGGAAATTTCCATGGAAGGTAACCCGCTCCCTCTGTAGATATAAACGGCTCATTCTAAGATAACGAAAACAAAACTATTTGTATTTTCAGGTGATTATACACTAATGAAAACATACATATGAATATTATATTCCATTTCTGACAGTAGATACTACTAATTATACATTTGATAGTATCAAAAGTACCGAAGTTATCAGAAAAAAACAAAGATAGAAAGATAGCAAAGAAAGAACACTAAAATAAGAATTAAATTAAAATGAATTAAAATGGTGACTTAAGAATTGACCTATGAGAAATAGGGTAATGTATTTAGATACTCTCCAGTTGCATTGTAATTCTGTCGGAAACACTGTAACTGGTCCTCAATATGTGTTCAGAGAAGAAAGTCCTATTCTCTGTGCCCATGACTATATTTTCTTCTTACTGTGGTATTGAAAGAGGTATCAAGAGGTGTTTTTTTTATACTAGTATTGAATTGAAGTTTAAATTCTGGTATCATGACAGCCTTGTTGTGTGTAGGCCAGTTTGTGGCTTGATGACATTCATTTCTTCAGTATGGAAATGGCTAGTATCCGTTCCAATCACACATCAAGCTTGTAGATATGGTAAATGGTAAATGGACCTGTACTTGTATAGCGCCTTTCTAGTCTTCCGACCACTCAAAGCGCTTTTACACTACATGCCACATTCACTCAGTGATGGGAAAGTCCATCGAACAGAAACTAACTCATCCATACACGGCATCGGGAGCAATTTGGGGTTCAGCATCTTGCTCAAGGATACTTCGACATGTGGCACCAGGAGCCCGGGATCGAACCCACAACCGCCCACATATCTACACTGTTTATTACAGTCTGTAGTATAATCCTGCTGATGAGGCAGTGGCATTTTTCTCCATTATCACTTTGTTTCCCCAGATACAGTAACAACAGGGCTTTTGTGCTGCATGTTTCCTGGATTTAGCAGTTTAACTTTTACATGGTAAGAGGCCAAAGTATCAGGCAAACACATAAAATGATTGGTTTTATGGTATTTTTAAAAAAAGAAATTTGTCAGATACTTAATTTTAAGAGACCACATGCAAAGCCAGTGCTGAGCACTCTGTGAATGCTTTATAAGGGATGTTTTTGTTGTGTCATGTGCTTTGTGTTTGCTGTTCTGGCAGTGGCACTGCAAACCAATTTTCCATGGGAACATGAACACATGTCATCATATTGAAACAGCTACAACAATATTACATGTGCTGCTGCTTGCTCTGATGATCTTGTTTTAAAGCAGCTGTATTTGGGTATTTTGGCCGGGTGCCATTGTGGAAGCTAAATCCAGGATAAAGGGGGCAGAGTTTCATCTGAAACATTCCTCTGCTCAGAAAAAGGAATGTAGGAGTAGTTTTTGGAAGGGTAATATGATGAATGGATTGAAAGTGAAAAAACATGTAAAAAAAAAAAAAGCAGGCAGGAAGTGTAAAGTAATGTGTGGAAGAAGAGAATGAGTGCCTTATCACCTCTGAATTTACTATCTAGAGAGATCAGTGGCCAACTGGTCTCATCCCTCAAAGACAGAAGTTTGATTTAATTTGAATTTTTGTAAGGAATCAATAAAAATAAGTGAAACACACTTTATATTAACATTTCAACTGTAATTTGGAAACACACAATGTATACACTGAATGTGAAGCTTCATTCTTGACCTTGGAAATTATGCAACAACTCAACTGAACTCAGGGTCCACCTATTTTCTCCAGTATCTCATGGTCTTCATCAGTGGATAGTTTGATAGGCCAGTCCAGAAAAAGCTAGTTAGCAGAGGAGCTAGTTAAAGTTATAATCTGTAAGATTTCTGCACTAAAATGTCTGTAAACACTAGATCTATGTTATATATTTGAGTTGTGTAGTTACATTATCCCAAATGTTCTCAACAGTGTTTAAACCCAGAGAAATCTGTCATTTTATTCAGGTACTATTTATCTGTTTTGTTGAACTTGTTCCGTATTTTTATGCTCAGTCTGTGTTTGTACATTGAGAGCAAGGTAAAACAGGAGTCAAATTCCTTGTGTGCACAAACCTGGCAAATAAAGTGATTCTGATTCTATTCCAATATTTATAGGAATGTTTTCATTAGTGTATAATCTCCTGAAAGTAAGAATTGTTGTCCTTCATTAGCTTATAATCAGCCGGGTCTCCTTCCTCAGGGGCCACCATGTTGAACTGCCATCATTCTACAGTAACCCAGAACGGACAAAGCAAACACTGGCTGTAGATGCTGTATTCTAGCATATCATCACGTGTGTATGTGTGTGCGTGCAATACACAAAACGGGGACCCACTCATAGAAAACAGCTCCATTGCGCTACTAGAGGTCAGAAACACCACAGGGAATGTTTGAAAGAAAACCATTATAGGTTTAAAAAAAAGCTTCTAAACGCAGGTCCTCCACTTCACAAGTCCAGTGCAGTGAGGAGAATGAGGACTTCTGGTCCCTCTCAAACAGCTCTTTGAATAATTCGTTTTTATACCTCAAAGAACGGTGTTTGGATCCTTTCCACAACACAAGCCAACAGAGCATTAAGATGTGACAGCATACCGACAGCCACAGCCAGACACTCAGTCAGTCTGGAGACAACAGAGGCTCCCTGCTGGCCCGAAGCCTGCTGTTTACCTGAGCTCGCCTGATGGCTTCCGTCCAAGTCAGGCCCTATGTAACTCAATCTGAGGACCACATAAATGCAGAGCCGAGCCGCACCCAAACAAAGCACGAACCTCCAAATGCCGAGATAATACCTGGGGTGTAATGCGGCTTGTGCTGTTGTGTGGGAATACACACTGGATCTGTAATTAAACCGTGTTTACTCAGTATAATTACAGATTAACAGAGATCACCTGGATCTTGTGTTTGAAGTGTGAATGGTTACCTACATGCTGACATCCTGCTCTGTCATTCCCCTCCATGCATTTCAGGTTGGATGTAATGTTCAGGATGTCGGGGTGTGTTGACAGCTTTTAACCTAATCCTGCCAGCGAATATTATCCTAATATCACCTGGCTACTGTAACAAGGAATTTCCCACTGTTTACTTCCCTTATGTCATCTCACCTTCCATGGTTAAGTACGGAGCATCGCTGCATTCCAACAGGTGTGTTTTCCATTAGCACAGGATGTCAGTTCCAAAATTATATTTCATCACCTAATTCAGGCTGCATCTATGGTAAATGGTAAATGGACCTGTACTTGTATAGCTCCTTTCTAGTCTTCCGACCACTCAATGCGCTTTTACACTACATGCCACATTCACCCTTTCATACACGTTGACTCAGTGATGGCAAAGTCCATCGAACAGAAACTAATTCATTCACACACATTCACACACCGATGCACGGCATCGGGAGTAATTCGGGGTTCAGTATCTTGCTCAAGGATACTTTGACATGTGCCACCCAGATCCTTACACATCTCATCTCATTTTGCCTAGAGATGCAGTAACAGTAGGCCCTAAACACAGCATTCCCACGCATCCTGGAAAACCTGAGACTAGTTTTCCGGTCATGGAAACACATGGAAATTGATTAACCAAAAATCCTGGAAATAATTGATGTTATCCTCGACGTCCTGGAAACTTTTAATTGTATTTTAGCCCTTCACTCAGATCTACGCCTTAGATATCCTTAGTATTTAGTTGGTAGGAGAACCTGCATGGAATGACATTTCAAACCAGGTTAACCACATGTGGAAATAACTTGCAGCAATCTTTTTGGCACTGAGTGTATTTTTTTCCCAAAAAACCAGTCCTGGAAAGGTCCTGGGAAATAATCTCTTACAGAGCGGGAACTCTGAAACAGTAGTCACATTTGTGGAATGTAAGGCATTTGCTGTGTGCTGTGGTTAATGTTTTATATCAATTGTTTTATGATTTTGGCAGAGGTGGTCAGTAGAAACTACTACAGGCCACCCAGAGTAAGAGCTGGGTAAGATTCTAAAAGAAACAGACACTAACCACTATCTATATCAGTTGTTAAAAAGGACCTTCCTCATTATATAAAAGAATTAGAAAACATGACAAATAGGCATGACAAATGAAGCTGTAATACTACATTGTACTATATAAACTTTTTAGGCTGACCCCTGCGTTACAGACAAACACTGTCTCTCACCCTTTAACTTATTTAAGATTTGATTTTATTTCCAAGGCAAATTATTTTCTTACAGATGTATACATCGTGGCCCTGGTTTGGAGATATGTCTTTAAGATTTCTGCATCCACCTGAATATAGCGCTCAGTGCTGTAAAATGATATTTTCTGTATTTTGGATAATCCACAGACATTGCTGTTTTTATAGGAACTATATCTTGTGTAGAAAATCCATTTAGCTATTACCATTTTTAATTAAATCCTAAGCCTTGGGTATCAGCAATAAAAAGTAAAGTAACCTTTTTGCTTCAGGGCCCGCCCACAGGTCCTTGTATCCTCTGCTCAGCTCACATGAACATCTGTGCACATTGCGCACTGTTCTCTTAAACCATGGATTAAGGACTTGTTTGTTTTTGGATTGTACTCTGTAGCAGATTGTCTCCAGCTATGAGCACTGTAACTTCGCTGCAGCCGTATCTGTCTCACTGCACTGTGATTCTGTGTGGGACAGCAGTGATGGGCTTCTTTCCTCCACTTTGTCTGCTTCCGCGGGTCGGTTGTGTGCTTGCGTTGTCTTTTTTGTTCAATTGGCTGAGTTGTGTGTCTTTTGTGTCCACAGTATGGCAGAAGCCCCCTGCACTTGGCTGCCTACAAAGGCCACATCGAGGTTGTGCATATTCTGCTCAAAGCTGGCTGCGACCTGGACATCCAAGACGACGTGAGTAAATCCATCTGTGTGTCGGCCATTTTTCATCCACTTCAGCTCTCGCGCTGCAGTCCTGATTGGCGGTACCAGTGGATTGTTCTCAATTCTGTTTTATTGGAATGATTTTTTAAGACCCACAACATTAAACTTTTTTTTCTTTTCTTTTTTTTTAAACACAAAGATAACTAGTCTAATGACATCCAGTGGCCTTGAATGGGACTCGTTGGACTGTCCACTTGTGGGTTTTCCCTCAGGATGCAAGTCCCCCTTTCCCACACATAGTGATAACACAGACCTCTGGCGTTGCCAAATTCATTCTCTGTGGTCAATGAGCTCCGCAACAGGCAGCAATACATCCTCCAGGACTGGAGGGAGTGGGAGGTGCAGACTGAAGCAGCAGGAGGAGGAGGAGGAGGAGGAGGAGGAGGGGAGAAGACAGTGGAGAAGGGCTGGGAAAGAGCCTGGAGGATCAGGGAGAGTGAAGGAGGTTAGCCAAACCTGCTCCTACTGAGCCAGGAAATCTGTCCCCTCCATCCTTCCTTCCCTAAGTCCACTCCACCATCACTGCTGCTGCTGTGCTCGGCTCAGTTCTTATCTAGCTTGGAATCACCCTCTCTCCTCCTCTTCTCCTTTCTCTTTCTCCTCCATCCCTTCCACTAATCATTGCTCTTTGTTCCTGTGCTCTTGGACCTGCTGTGTGTCACTAACCAATCATCTGTTCAGTCTGCAGCAGTTCCATTTATGGCATTAATGTTAACTGAACCTTTTTCATGTGACTGTGCTCTCACTGCTTTCATATGGTGATACACCCCTCTGTGGTCTCTAAACAGCTATTTAAATGTACCTGCTGTGGTTTGTATAATTGCTATATTGGGACCACATTAACAATATTACTGCTAAAGTCAGTAATAACTCTGCTAAGCTTGGGATACATGGTGTGCTTCTGAAACAACGTAGCTTACAAAATGGTCAACATTTAAAGGGATAGTTTGCTTTTTGGGAATTTTGTACTACTTTGAATATATGTTAAATTGTATTTTGTACAGATACTGATGTCTATGGGATGATTCCCTACTAAGTGTTACGAAACATTTTTAATATTTTCTACCTTTATTACAATTTTTTGTGGTCCTATGGTTTGGATCTACTGTCCATCATGATGCTAATAATTAATAAATAAAAATGTATTAATAAATGTTTAAAGCTGCATTTATTTTGAGCAGGCTCACGTTGGTTCCCTGAACATGTGAGATTAGAAGATCAGGCCTCAGGTTTGTTTATTACAGAGATGGCTCCAAAGTGGTTTGTCAAGAAATCCAGCACGTAACTTCCTGCTAAACCATTAATTATCATTTTTACATTTCTCTCTGTATGTATTTAAAAACATGATGTCTGTTCAGTAAACCTTATAGGTGTTGGTGGGTCTAGGTGTATTCTTTTTGATTCTTTGGACAGAGCCAGGTTAGCTGTTTCCCCTCTGCTTTCAATCTTTATTTTAAGCTAGGTTAACCATATCCTGACTCAAGCTCTATACTTCACATACAGGCATGAGATTAAGTGAAATCCATGTGTTTTATGTGCATTTTCAGTTTGTGTAAAGGTCCAGTGTGTAACATTTAGGAGGATCTATTGTCAGAATAGAATATTCATAGGTTTTGTACCTTTAGAATGAGCTGTTTTATCTAGAGTCCACCATGCTTCTACAGTATCCCAGAACAGACACACCTGGCTCTACATGGGGCCTTTCGTGTTTTTTGTGAGTTTCGTGGCCACCGTAGTTTTATTCCACATGCTTGGTTAAACCAGGTGTTTTCAGTTGGTTGCAATCTGCGATCTTATCACTGAATCCTACACCTCCTTTTAATGGCATCCGACTGGAGGTTTGGTGCCACTAAATACTTATCTTGATTTCTAGTATTCAAATAACAGGAACGGATGGAAATGTACATTAATTAGATTTTTCTTTTGAAAGTCTGGAAACTTGACTATTGGTTTCCATCTTCTTATCTCACTCTCAGAAAGAGAAAGCAAGCAAATAACTATTTCCCCAAATCCTTCCTTTAATTAAAATTTGTGAGACTTACTAATTATGTCAATGAGGGTAGTTGGAGTGTATCACCAGCTATCAGTCTGTGGAAAAATTTAAGGGTGTATTTCTTTAGAACAGGTCTACTATTGACCCCATTAAAAAGCAGTAAGTTCAAACTGAATGCACTGACATTCATCCATGTGGTCCACTCAAAGTAAACAGGAATAAAACCAAAATCCCCCAAAACCAATCTATTCCTTCAAGAGACTGTGAAAATCTTGTATCTCCGTTTCAACTTTTTAACAACTTTGTTTTTCATTAACTTCAGTTGATGTTGGAAATAATATAATTTCCAACATCTTCATGGCATCAGCGAGAGCACTGTAACAATATAATAAAATATGAAACGGATTGATACAGGGTTTTTTTCCTGTTGTTGCTGAGAGTTTCTGGTCACATACAGTTAGTCAATGTTTGTGCGTTTGTGTGTCGGATGGCAGGGGGAGCAGACAGCGTTACAGCGGGCTGCCGTGGTGGGAAACTGTGACATCATCAGCGCTCTCATCCAGGAAGGGTGTGCACTGGACAGACAGGACAAGGTGCAGATCAAAAGAGACACACACACACACACACACACACACAGACACACACACACACAGAGGCTAATGGCACCTCTATTACAGTCAGTTGGAGGAACAGGGAATTTCAAAGCCATCATAATGACTGCATTAAAGCATCTGATAATCATAGAGAAACCAGTGTGCCTATAATCTGCTTATCCTTAGAGTAGTGTATTTAGAGTCACAGTGAAAAGAGAAATGACCTACAGGGATTATAACCATGAGCACTCAAGTATGACAAAACATGCTGAAATATGGTGTATTAATTGTGTATTTTAGTAAATACAATAACTCCTTTACAGCTGACTTATTATGAATGATCACTCATCTCTAAGATTTGTGTTGACAAACACTGGCTGCCGTTAATGTGTCTTTTTGTCTTTTGTCCTGTCAGGATGGCAACACAGCTCTCCATGAGGTGTCCTGGCACGGCTTCAGTCAGTCTGTCAAACTACTGGTGAAGGCTGGAGCCAACGTTCATGCTAAAAATAAGGTGATTCCTCAGTGGTGCTCTCAACTTTCAACCACAGGCCTGGTTAAACTTTTGCTATAAACTTTATTCCTTTAAAAATCTATATATATATCATTCTTTCAGCTGTCTTTCTTTGCTTCCCATATCTTTGAGAGAAATTCACTAGGACTCATCTAAAGCAAGACTATGTTACGTTTGAAAGTAGAGCTGACACACTCTTCCTCTTACAAATGTTAAATTCATACTCAGTAAAGAACACCCTTTCTTTGTGGTCTCATTCCACTGTAATGATATCTTTTAAAGGAATGGACTCAAAAAGGATATTGTTGAATAAAGGGAAATTCAATGTGTCACTGGCCTGCAGGGGCCACTTAATATTCATACTTTAGTTGGACAGCCCTTTCTGAAGGGGAACTGAAGCCATTGTATCGCTCTCTTCAAAGCCACCAAAGTCCTTTTGACAAAAACGTTAATTTTACCTCATAGAACACAGAGTCTGCTCTATGGAGTTGCCTGTTTGCTTGTGTTATTGTGTGAAAGACACAGCCGCCCCCCCCACGCCCACCCCCCCCACCGGCAGCCACACACGGCGCAGAGCCAGCCAGAACACGCCAGGCACTCACACAAACAACACAGCAGCACACCCACGCGCCGGCCCGCGGGGCAGGGACACAAAACAGAGCCCAGAGCCCAACACAGCCCACAGCAGGACCAGCTCAGCGCAGGGCACAGCCCCCAACCCCCGGCAAGGCAAACTCCCACCCCGCCGGAGAACAGCACCCAAACCAAGCACAGCACGCCAGAAAGGGGAAACGCCAGGGGCCAGAGCCACAGCCAAGGCGGACCGGCCCAGGCACCAACTCAAACCAGCCGGCACACCCAACAGGCAACCACACAAAAGCCCGCAGGAAAACCCCAAAAACCCCAAAACCAAAACCAAAACACCAAGCCTACAGACAGGGCCACAACCACCACAAGCAGGCCCAGCCCGGAGACACCAACCACCCCACAAAGACACCCCACACTACCCCCCCAGCCAGGCAGCCACCACAGCCGGGAAAACCACAACACCAAAACAACACACGAAAACAGCACCAAGCCAGCGAACGGGCCACACAACCCAGGCACCCAACCAGGCCAAGGCGACGCGCCCCCCAACCGCAACCGACCGCCAGCGACGAAAAGGCCCCACCAAACCCAGACCACAAGCGCGGGCCCCCGGCGCACAGCCGCAGCACGCAAGCCAGGCCCACAGACGCCACCAAACAAGGCAGCGAGCCCAACCCCCCCACAGCAAACCCCACCCGAGAGGACGCCGGGGGGGACAGGACACCACCACAGGGCAGCACCGACGAACCAGGCCCGCCACCAAACACACCAACCACAACACCCAGCCGCCGCCGGCCCCCAGGACGGCCCGAGCCGCACACGCACACTAGCCTCACCACCCCCAGGCAAAAACGAACCACCCAGGGGCACCCCAAACACCACGCAACCACAGCAGGACAACCAACACCCGGAAACGCGGACACAACGGAACCACGAACAACACACCCGCCAGGCACCCCGGCCAAAGCCACCACAGACCCCAACCCCCAGGCGCAACAGAGGCAACACAGGCCGCACACAGCAGGACCCCAAGCCGCCCGACGCAACCCCCCAAACAGAACCCCACCAGCAAACCACACGCGCACCGCGCAACACCAAAGCCAGGGGAACCGGCCCACACGAAGAACCACACCGGGGAGCCCCAACCAGCCAGCCAACAAGCCAGAGGGGGCAACGGGCGCGAAACCACTACTTAAACAACTCATCTTCCCAAAAGGTCTCAAAGCTCCGGCTACATACTCCCGCCAACAAACACCTACACCACCACCATCACTCACTGGCCCACACCCTTTCCAAAATCTGGTAGGTGTTCTGAGCCTCCTTGCCTCGCATTGCCCGGCTCACACAAGGAGGGCCCCTGCTCCCCACCCAGACACAAACAACACTCCGTTGCGCGAGCATCACGTCTTGCCAAGCCCCCCCCCCACACCGACAGTTGGCTCCGCAAGGTACTTGGGCTGGTTTAGGTCGACCACCCCCACCACCACCTTCGAACTGGCATTCTGTATATAGTTCTTACAGCATTGGTCAGTTCACCATAGCTTTTCCCTTTGCCAATTACTTACCACTTCTCAAAGTCACAGTCACAGCCTGTGCTACTGGTCAGTAGTCTGTTCTGAACTCGCTGCCCACCCACTAGGTTTCGGTTCCTGCCACATAGTTCCGACGGTCCGAGAGTCCACATCAGCCCTTCCCACACAAACAGATAGAGTCGGGCTTCTCTCAACCACCACTCGCCAGGTCGCCTCCCCCAAACTCTCAGCTAGCTGGCATCAGCCTGCAAGAACTGTGAGCAAAACAGCGAAGCAAAACGCCAATCCTCCCCACTACTCTACACAAAAACAAACAGTGGGAGGCGCTCTCTCAAAGCTCCCTCAGAAAACATCACTGGCTAGCCTGTCCTCCCACACGAGCTCACCCCTCAAGGCAGCCTTTTACAAAAAAAAAGTCTACTTGTTCTTCTCCGCCAACTCCTCCTCATCACCCGCTCACCTCCTCTATAAACTCCCACAGTGAGCACCATCCCTGGTCACCACTAAAGGTACAACTGTTTTCTCTAAAAACAACCTTGTTAACACACCCAAATAAAACACATACCACATGTTTTCACTCATTCCAAAACGACTGCAGCTCCAATCACCTCCACACATAAAACAGCTGGGTACTCATCCCCGGCCCGCCTAGACAGCCCCCCTCGCCACCACATTCTGAATGTCTCTACACTGTCTTTATCCACAAAAAACACACAACCTCAACCCTGCCTCACTTCACAGAATACGTGGGCAGTCCCCCCTCCGCAGCCCAACCCCTCGTCTTCGCCCACCAGCCACGGGTACAGACCGCCTCCCAGACACCCCCGGCCACCCACCCCACCAACGGCTGTGGCACCACACTGTTCCAATGCCCTGTCCCATCCAAACTAAAACCTCAAAACTAACAGGACCCACCACACCAAATTGCCGGCAAAGGAACCTACACAAATAAATATTTTGTGGTTCTTTATTCCCACACTTAACAAACACATAATATCTATTAGCAATATAACAAAACAAACTCTCCCATTCCGCGCAACAAGCACGCTTAACATTCTCCTACATAAACAAGGAAACACCCCCACACAGCACCAGGCTCAAACTCAACAGCTCATTACTTCATAAACAACTCAACAACAACCAACAACAGACACCCTCAAATAAAAAAATAAAAACATTTGTAACCACGAACTCAAGTCACTTCAACATAAAAACCAACAAAAATAAAAAAACATTCAAACAAAAACCCCATACACATCTACAACAAAACAAAACAAAACCACCACCCACACCCCAAACACACCCCAACACCAACTCCCCCAAACAAAAACAACAAACAACTAACACACAACAAAAAACTTAACACTACAACCACCACCCCCTTTCATGCCCCAGCCCACCACACAAACCAACACACAACCAAACAAAACACAAACACCAACTCAAACACCACCACACAAACCATTCAACCAAATAAACAAACAAAACAACCACCACCCACACCCCACCCCTTCCTTGTTTCGGCCTCGGCAAACATGCTCTCACACGCGATTTCCCTTTTCCGCTCCCACACAACAAGCCCCCAGAAAAAACGCACACACCAACCCACAACAACAGCACTTTAGGAAACCCCAACCCATTTCACCTGGCACAATTGTGTGACTCATTTTAAAAGGTTACTTTGGATCCAAACTAACATGTTAACTAACCAATAAATGCAGCAATTGGTTAGTTAAGACTAGCAAGTCCTATGTTCTGCAAGGTACAATGAATGAATAAAATATCAAAGGAGTCTGGAGGCTTGGAAGAGAGCAAAGATGGATATAGCAATACTTACACAAATAAGAAAGGGGGAGACTCTGACTCTCTCCTCGTCCTCCTCCTGTTTTCAGGCAGGAAACACAGCTCTCCACCTTGCGTGTCAGAACGGCCACGCTCAGAGCTCCAAGGTTCTGCTCCTGGGAGGGTCCCGGCCTGACAGCAAAAACCACGTAAGTCTCCAGCAGGACTCTAATGGGTTCTTCTGCTGCCAGAGTGAATGAGATGCATTCTGACACAGCCTGTTATTCACATATAGAAATATATATATATATATATATATATATATATATATATATATATATATATATATATAAAAGAAAGCAGCTCTAGGCCACTTTATTGCTGTCAGACAACTGGTGCTTTTCTGGTTTTCTTGGTACTTGTGTTTCCAAAACAAAGACCATTTATTTGTTTCCCAGCACAAAAGGGCGAATAAATAACAACAAAAAAAAATCAGCATCTACCAAATTATTATTTTAAACATCGTATCAGCCCAGAATTTCTCAATCGGTGCATCCCTAGCTATGACACTAGGGCTAGTGTGGATGTAACCTGCCTCCAGTAAATAATGTAGCCAGAAACTCCCTTTTACACTGGTGTGGAACTGCCTTCCATTTAAGCTGCATTATTCATTTCTATCAACACTAGTGCAGTGCCCGTAGGAAGTATGTATTGCTATAGAAAAGTGTGAGGTTAAGTAGCTTTTTTATGGATGGCCAAATGAGGTTGTGTTTGAAGGTGGGACGTCAGGGACATTTAGGACATATTATTTAGTCATGTAATATAGGCCAGCATACATCAGAGAGAGAGAGAGAGAGAAAAAGAGAGAGAGAGAGATTCGGGGATCCAGCGCCAATTCTCCGCACCCTCCTCTGTGTGAAAGACTCAGATGCGGCGCTCCGTCCCTGATCCTCCTCTCGAGGTAGAATCAGGGACGCATTATTTTTGAACCGCCTACAGTGTGAACGGATAAGCAGACGGTGCGGAGCGTGGCCGTGTCGGTCAGACAGTCTGATAACTGCACAGGTCTCACTCAACTTAATAAAGAGAAATGTCCCACAAAGCAACGTTACAGGACCAAACAACAGTAACGTAGTAACTGTAACTGTCTTTGGAAACTTCTGAGGAAAAAAAAATACCACAGCTGTACGTGGAGAAGAGTCTGTCCTCCTGTCTGTCCTCCCGCCTGTCCTACCGACTCTTCCGTTACATTTCTGCCCGAAAAACAGCGTCTGTCACCGGAGAAAAACTCAGGAGTGTTAAAACATTCTCTGTCTTGTGAGTGAGGGAGTCAGTTTACTGCTGGTGATTATTGTGTAATAATTGTGTAATTTAGAGTGGAAAACGTAACTTCGTCACTTTCCAGGATGTCAATCACTACACATTATAACAGCATCCATATGATTATAAAGTGTCTGCGGGTTTAGATTGACGGGGGGAGACAACTGGGAAACACCTTCAACACGGGCTCTGCAGTGATTGGCTCTGGTGTGCACGTGGCTATGGTGGCTATCGTTGGCAATGCTAGCGGAATTCGGAAATAATTTATGAAATCATTTATTAACTGTATATTTGTAGTCCAAACAAAGCCGACGATGCACAACCTTAAACCACACAGCCGCCATGTGGAAACTCTCAGGTCAGTCTGATCCTGATCTGCAGAGATATTTGAGCCACACACACACACACACACACAGACAGAGATTTCTTGATAGATAGATAGATAGATAGATAGATAGATAGATAGATAGATAGATAGATAGATAGATTTAGCAGCTAAGAGCCAGATGTTTTTTTTATAGCGACCACCAAAGCAGATGTGAAAAGGAGTATTGGACTGTTGCTTCCAGCTTAGCTCCTGCTTGTTCTTTATACTTTGTAGTTCTTACTTACTGTCATGGGTTTTTCTTCCTGTTTCCTGTTCCTTCATGTAAAATGCTCTTTGTAAACAAACATGCATCTTTACTTCTTCCTTACTCGCTCATATTTGCAGTGGCTTTGAAATCCTGGATGATGGCCTGCTGCCACAGTAGTGCTTACATGGCACAGTGGTCACTTAATTATGAAACACTGGGCGGCACATTTGCACTTTAAACATAATGTGCAGCCTCTCGGGGAAAGCATTGTTGCTCAGCACAACACAAGTGCAGGAGGAGGTTGTTGGTGGTGCGTGTGAGCAGCAGCCCGAGTGCTGATTGTTCACTCATGTGCTGACTTTCAGTGAGGAGCTTTCAATATTTCATTCTGATGTTTGTGGCAGGAGGACCAATGCTCAGACATACTGTCATTAACTGGAACAACCACATGGACTATTTTTAGAAATAGAAATTAGAAATAAATGAAATTAATAAAAAATATGAAGACTAAATTAGAAAATTTGATGAAAAAGGTTAGCACATTTTAATTTTAGGTGAACTTTAATACCTAAAATATTTAGATGTTTCTCTCTTAAATGTGACAGGTTATACCAGTGTAGCATAATGGGAAAATCACTGTGGTTTTCTCTCCATCATCTTTTAAAATGTACACAATCAAACATGTAAACTCATTTCACATTCCTCATTTATGCTTGACATCTTCTGAATGTAATTCAATTCTTGTAAAATTGCTAATCTCTACACATTTTCCCAGGCGGGGGATACGTGTCTGCATGTGGCGGCCCGCTACAACCATGTAGCTATGATCCGCATCTTGCTGGGGGCCTTTTGCTCCGTGTCAGAGAAGAACCTGGTGAGCCGTTGACTAACCTGCTAAATACTGGAGAATCCTGGCTTTGGCTACTGTACAGCACGGGACTATTGATTAGAACTTTTTTCCCAATGTTAAAAAAAACCTATCTGGCTTGTATAATTGTATTTTGAATGAATCAGCCAATATGACGTGAGGAAGAAGAAGTTCAGTTTCCTGCAGTATTTGACACACAATCTTCTGTCCAGAATTTCACTTGTAAATGTGACACATCAAAGTATTCCACAGTTAAAACATGTCATTTATATGATTTGACATTATGTTTGTCATTCTGCAGAAAGCCTCTGGTTAACATATAAAACAGAAATGTTCATACGAGCATCATACAAACATCTTGATATTTTGAACAAAGGGTCACATCATCATCTTTTGTTCTGTGTGTGTTTGTCTGCAGGCTGGGGACACACCACTACATGTGGCAGCTGCTCTGAATCATAAGAAGACAGTACGTCTGCTGCTGGAGGCAGGGGCAGACAGCCGCATCTGCAACAACGTGAGTGCCTGCAGCCTCTTTCTACATCATTAATGCTCACAAGAAGTGTTTGTGAACTCACTTTGCCTTTCTTCCTCTTCCAGTCAGCACACATTTCTGTTGTTACCAATCCTACAGCACACTGTCCCTGCCTCCTGCCGTCTATTTAAAGCCACATTAGACAACAGTGCACAGTGGTAGAAGCAATACTGTAGGTATCAGCTAGAAAACCATGTGAACCTCAATGGGCAGAAATACTCTCACACTCACACACTCATGTTTATTTACCTGGCTGCTCTGATTACTGTAAACCATCAGATCTTGCTTTGTCACTTTCAGTTGAAAATCCCCTACCATGATAAAGATAAAGCTGCTGTCACAACTCAACCCTACTGCAGATTTTAAAATCTTTTTTTAAACTGACCATTAACTGAATTTAAGGATAAAGGCTGTTATAAAGTTTTGATTGTCATAACCCGGCTGTTGTCAAGTGAAAACAAAGCAGAAATCAAACAAAAGCTGAGAATGTGCTGTGGGGATGCAGCCGAATGAGAGAGACCAGAGCAAAGCTGGGACAGGGTTTTTATCCTTTAGCCTGACCCAGGTGCTCCAAATCCGTACGCTGCTGATGGTACCTTCAGGGACACACAGGAAAAACAATAACTGGTCCACCACATCAGCACATCAACATGTTAGACAGGGATTACATGATCACATGATTACGTTTATTTGACAGGGACCACATATAATAAATGTAAATATCAATACTTGACATCAGATGCATTATACTTTGGTATATTTAAAAGCTCATTTAGTGTGTGTGTGTGTGTGTGTGTGTGTGTGTCTGTGTGTGTGTGTGTCTGTGTGTCTGTGTGTTTCTGCAGGCAGGTCAGACTGCTTTGGACCAGGCCAGAGAATACAACAACCCAGATGTGGCTCTTCTACTGACCAAAGCTCCCCAGGTAAAACCACTAACTCCCAGTTTCCAACACAGCTTTTTATAACATTTCAATAAACTCATTCAAAAATAAATACAAATAGTTGAAGGACTAAATGCACTGAACTCTGTCTTGCATTGACCATGAATATGAAGCTGTGAGCCCTAGTTCTTTGTGACCTGTGGTGCATGCATGATGATTTCATTTGGTCTCCTGTGTGTGTGCTCAGGTGCAGAGTTTTGTGCGTGGCAGGAGTGTGAGGAAGAGAAGAGACAAGCTGAAGGCGGAGGGCAGAGCTCAGTCGGTGCCCAGAGATGAGATGCTGCCCTGTAAGGTAAAAACTGGACCACTGTGTCAAAGCAATTGAAAATGATTGTGTTGTTGTTGTTGATTCTGGCGGTCCACTGTCTCATTTCACTGATTTCAAGGTATTTCAGTATAGGGGAAAGCAAGGGAAAAAGATATAGAAAAACCTACAAATCTTAGGATGAGAGGAAGGTGAGGACATACAAGCAGCATGGAGGAGAAGAGAACAGAGGCTTGAAGAGTGAGAGTGCTTGAGAAGGAAAATATTTAAAAGACTTTCAAGTAGTGAAGTGCATAATTAAGAATCACTGTTTTACTGTCGGAGTGCTGACCCCTGGAGAAGCTTAAATCCTCTCCTACTGTCTCCTGCGTCATTCAGCTCTCCAGGCACTCTTCCTTCAGTGTTCATTTACTTTAACACACATCCAAACTTTCTCTGAAACTTTTGGATCGCCACTAGAATTTAAAATCAAGGCTTTGACTATAGATTGGTTGCAGAGCATGAGTTTGTGATGACTTACCTAAATGTGGATGTGTGGTTGAAGAGGTTAAACGATGAATAAATAATAATGAATAATAATGCAAAAGGTCACTGAATGTCATGAATTCACTAAAATCATTAAAACACTATGTGCACTAGATTCCTACTCTGGGAATACTTGAAACCTGCTTTTATCAATGTCCTGAGTGCTCAAACACTTCCAGGAAGCTGCTCTACCACACATGTCCCTCCTTCTGCTCCTGCAGGACAGTGCATCTGCTGCAGACGACACCCAGAGCAGTGATCGAGCTGCCTGCAGACACACTCAGGCGACTGAGTCAAACACCAGGCGTGGAAAAAACGGGAAGCAGAAAGAAAAAGTAGGTCCTTAATCCACATGGATGATCTTTGAAGCAAAGCTTTGACTAGCAACCGTTAGCTTCTCTATTCCTCAGTTACTGTTAGAGCTGTACCAGGTGGAATGATTACTAACATCAGGTGCTGTTGATGTTTCAGCCGTCTTTGTCTGACCCCCTCCGTCGCAAAGAGACCAGGCAAAGGAAAGACAAACTGCGGGGAGCCGCCCTTCATGCGTCCATCCCTCCACACAACTATAAAGCCTATCAGCTCTACACGCTGTACCGCAACAAGGATGGCAAGATCATGCAGGCAAGTGCACAAAGATTATTATTAGGGCTGCCCTCTAATAGTCCACTTAACTGTTAGTCCATGTAAAGAGACTTAGATCTAGCATGCTGTAGACAGATAGAACAATCAAACAGGCTCACTTAGTAGCCTAGTTGATGTTTGCGGTGTGTGTGTGCGTGCGTGTGTGTGTGTTAATGTTTGCGGTGTGTGTGTGTGTTTTGATGTTTGCGGTGTGTGTGTGTGTGTATTGATGTTTGCGGTGTGTGTGTGTGTGTGTGTGTGTGTGTGTGTGTGTGTTAATGTTTGCGGTGTGTGTGTGTGTTTTGATGTTTGCGGTGTGTGTGTGTGTGTATTGATGTTTGCGGTGTGTGTGTGTGTGTGTGTTAATGTTTGCGGTGTGTGTGTGTGTGTTTGATGTTTGCGGTGTGTGTGTGTTTTGATGTTTGCGGTGTGTGTGTGTGTTTTGATGTTTGTGGTGTGTGTGTGTGTGTGTGTTGATGTTTGCGGTGTGTGTTGATGTTTGCGGTGTGTGTGTGTGTTGATGTTTGTGGTGTGTGTGTGTTGATGTTTGCGGTGTGTGTGTGTGTTGTTTGTGGTGTGTGTGTGTGTGTGTTGATGTTTGCGGTGTGTGTTTGCAGGCTCCTCTGAATGGCTGCCGCTGTGAACCTCTCATCAATAAACTGGAGAACCAACTGGAGGCCACCAAGGAGGAGATGAAGACTGAGATCCACACAGTCCAGGACCTGATGAACAGCAAGATGGGCCAGCTGGACCGCAAGAACAAACACCAGGTAATATACACATGTAGCACTTACTTTATTATCTTATTCTGGTTTAAAGCAGACATAATTCAGGACCACTTTTGTCATACCTTTTGTTATGTATGTCCTGTTTGGTGGTATGGCTCTGTTCTGAGACCCCTTTGCCCTTCCATGTGTATTTATGGAAAGCTAAGACAAGCAGCAAAGACCCCCAGGGTCTGTATTTACGATCAGCTGATGTAGCTGGAATTGAGAGCTGAGCTGATCTTCACGGCCTGCCTGAACTAACGCTGTGCTTAATTTATTTCTTAGCTGAATTTTGGTATGGTGTCATTCAGAGAGGTCAGGATCAATTAAACCAGATTCGATGGGTACATCCCAATTCCCTTAACGTCATCCATGTTCCCTCACTTGCTTCTTTTCACTCCCACTGCAGAGCAGAGAGCTTTTTGTAGTCAACTAGTAGCCGTGAGATAAAGCCAACAGTCGACTAATCGTCACACCTTTATGATATTAATTTCATTATTTAAACATGTTAACAGCGGCCTGTTAAACGCCAACAGAAAAAGCGGTAATGATTGTGAATGTGTCAGAACAACCAGCAAGGACACTGAACAGTGTAACATCACACAGTCTGGAGAACTACACGCTCCTCTTCCTCCGTTTCATTCCTCTCCTGTCGCTGCCTGAACCCGCCGTGTCTTCATCCCCAGAGTCAGAGTCCTGGTCGGAGCCGCTGGAACTCAGCTGGCCTCTGTTGGTCCGTTCTGGTTCTGTCGCTCATTCTGGCACCGCTCCTTGGCAGTATTCCCTGCCGGGTCCCCCGCTCCTACGCTAGTACCTCCCTCTGTCCTTTGAGCTCCCAGTCCGGGTACAGTCAGCTAATAGAAGCACTAACAGCTAGTGGCAGCAGCTAGTACAGTTAGCATACGCAACAGCACACCAGTAACAGACTTCCTGTGTTACACAAGGAGAGGTCTGTGATGCAACAGTCTCCTGATACTTTGGTCCCAGTGACATGGCGCAGCTCCTGAACAGAGTTTAACATGGTTCATGTTTTTCTGCGACTATCAGACTAATGAAAAGCACGTCGACTAAGACTCTTCTCAGCAACTAACAGTTAAGTAGACTGTTAGGGGGCAGCTGAACAGATCCAACACAGCAGAGGTGAGAGTGTCTATTCCCTGTGTGGAGTACTGTAACAGTGCTGCTTTCATTTCCCTCTGGAGCCACCCTGTACATAATACATGCACTCACAGTGCTGTGAGATGCTTCAGATACACGCTTCTATCAGATAACACAGTTGTTGATGCGTGTACTCTGAGCACCACTGCTGCCTGAGAAAATATAATAGTGGTTGTAGGCAGGAATGCATCAATAGAACAACGGACGCAGCTGTGGAGAGAGGAACATGGGAAGTGAAACAAGACAAAAAGATGTGTACTCTACAGCTGACTGACAAAACACAGAGCTGGAATGAGGCTGTTGTTATCATGCAACTAAATAGTTGAGTGTATGGAACAGATGTCATCAAACACCCCACACATGTTGTAGTTGAACCATGAGCATCAATGTGCTGCTCTAACAGCCTCCACCTGGCTCTTTACTTCTGACCATCACATTTACACTTCAAACATCATAAAAGTTCACATTCAATTCAATTTTATTTGTATAGCGCCAATTCATAACAGAAGTTAACCTAACAGCCAGGGAGAAGTTTAAGGGAAAGACACTTCAGGCTCAGGAGGCCCCTGCTCACCATCACCTACTACAGAAAGGGAAAGGTGATGGTCCAGGGGGACGAAGCAAACTTGAAATCCTTTGAAGAAGTTTTCTCCCTGATCAAAGCTGAGGTGGACACCAAGAGGTGCAGTGTTCCGTGTGACAGTGAAGATGATGAGAGCCCAACAGAGAACCCCACCACCTTGTCCATCTCTGCCCCTCCCACACCTGCCAGCTCCACCAACCAGCTGAAAGAGAGTATGGCCCTGCTGGAGCTGGACTTTGCTGATTTCAAAGAGCTGACCCAGGCCAGGCTGTCTGCCCCCCTAGACAACATTGTGCATCAGCTTCAGGAGGAGCTCCAGCAGCTCAAGAGAGACAACCAGGCCTCCACATCTGAGCTAAGAGGAAGTGTAGAGGCACCAAAACAGGAGAACAGTGCGCTCCGGGCTCAGTTAGCCAAAGTGAAGGAGGAAGCTGAGAACAGAGAAAGGAACTTCACCAGGCAAGTCTGACACCTGACAGACCAACTCTCAACAGTCCCAACAAAGACAACTACAGAGACAGAGACACAGACTCTCCCTGCTAGTCTTCCAAACCCCTGCCTTGTCTCTGTCCCACCATCTCTGCTCTGCACCCTACCAACAACCACACAGCCAGCTCCCAACAGCCAACTCTGTCCATCCCAGCTGCCCTCCACTCAGCCTGAAGAACAAGCCCCACAAGTGGTCCTGCTGGCTGACTCAAACGGGAAATTCCTGGACACCAACAAGCTTTTTCCTTCTAAGAAAGTGCTGTCTAAACGTTGAAGCACCACAGGCCAGGCAATGGAGCTGTTGAGAAAGGAGACCCTCGGGAGCCCTCAATGCCTGGTGATCCACACAGGAACAAACGACCTGCACAACCTCCGAAGGGACACTGCTGAGGCAGTGAGGAAGATGGTGGAGCAGGCCACCAAGGAATTCCCTGACACCCGCATCGTGATCTCCACCCTGCTGCCTAGGACAGACACCCCTCCTCACGTCATCCATGACATCAATATGAAGATCAGAAGAGGTTGTGCCACCTTACCCAACGTCCACCTGGCCCTCCATCCAACCATTGGCACCTGGGACCTCTACGATGGACTCCATCTACACAGAGAGAAGGTGCATATCTTATACAGCATCGGCCACAGAGCCATGGAGCAGCACGTCCCCCTCCCCACCCACAGCAGCAGAGCTATGCTGCAGCTGTAGCCCGGCCTGCTGTCACAGCCCCTCCCCCCGCTACCTGTGAGCTGAGAGACATCAGGGAGATGCTGCACACCCTGTGCACCCGGCTTCTGTCCAGCTAAGATATATTTACTCAGAGCACTTTCCCATTTGAGTTACAAAACAACATGGACATATATTTGTTAGTTAGTAATAGTAATAGCAATAGTAGTAGTCAGTACAATGGTAATATTATTGAAAATAGTACATCTCCATGGAATTAATATCAAATTATTATTTTAAATATATAGATGGTAGAAGGTTTTTTAAATATTTGTCTCACTATACAGGTTCATTTTGATTGTTTTCTTTTTGATGCGTTCATTTCATATAAGCTGTTGGAATACTCAGGGTCTCCACTCCTCAACCTTTGAGCTGAAGAGTGGAAACCCTGAGTTCATGAAATCTATCAAAGACGTTGATATCATTGTATTGACAGAAACATGGTGTCAAGATGATTTGCTCACTCACTGTCCCCCAGGATATAATGAAGTCATGGTGCCCTCCATAAAACTAAAAAACATACGCAAGGGCAGAACATCGGGGGGGGGTTTGGTGTGGTATAAAGGAGATCTTTGCAATCAGAGCTCACCAGTAAAACAGGGTAATTCGCACATTTGGTTGAGATTAGATCAAACCCTAGGCATAACTGATAGGGATCTATACCTCTGTGCAATTTACATACCCCCAGTGGATTCTCCTTATTTTGAAGAGGACATTTTTGACAAACTAAAGTCAGAAATCGCCTATTTCCAGGCCCAGGGAAATGTACTTCTAACTGGAGATCTAAATGGACGTACAGGAATTGAACCTGATCATGTATCAGTGATCAGTGAATGCACTAAAAGAAAAAGCTCAAAGAGCTCTTTATGCAATTAAGAGAACATTTTATAATTTCAATATTCCAATAAAAATCTGGCTTAAAATATTTGATAGTGTCATCCAGCCCATTGCGCTGTACGGTAGTGAAGTATGGGGTCCACTCAGTCATCAGAGCTTTACCCGTTGGGACAAACATCCAACAGAATCTCTACATGCAGAATTCTGCAGATACATTTTACACGTACACAGAAACACACCAACAAATGCATGTAGAGCAGAATTAGGCAGATACCCACTGATAATTAACATTCAGAAGAGAACGCTCAACTTTTTTAACCACCTGAAATCCAGCCCCAGAGACACCCTCCACTCCAAAGCCCTCCAAACCCAAGAGCTGAGCCCAGAAAAGAGTCCCCTATGTCAGTTGGTACTGAGGCTAACTGCCCCCTCTCAGACACACTCTGACCAGCCTCATAACAACACTGCTCTACAAACAGTAATCAGAGTAATTCAAATTATAGCACAACGTAAAGAAAGCTATCTGGACCATTGGGAAGAAACAACTAAAAGCCAGAGTAGATTGGAATGTTATCTTGCCCTTAAAAGAGATTATGAATGAGCAGAATATCTCTCTACTGTCAGAGATAGAAAGCAGAGACAGATCCTAACCAAGTACAGGCTCAGTGACCACAAACTGCCAATCCAAACAGGAAGACACAAAAAATCATGGCAACCAAAAGAAAACAGAAAATGTGGTCACTGTTCGACAGGTGAGGTTGAGACAGATGCACTTTCTCCTACAATGTACAAAATTAAATGATACAAGAAAAATGTATTTGAACAAGTTCAGCTCTTTGGTTCCAGATTTCAAAGAGCTGAACGACCTCTCCAAATTAAAAATACTCCTCGGAGAAGGAGAGCAGACACACCTTGCTGCCCAGTATGTATTAACATGCCACAACCTGAGGGACAGTGAGTGATCGAGGCACACGCACACACACACACAGACACACACACACACACACACACACACACTGTATATAACTAATATAATGTTCATATAATAATAATGTTTATATCTTTGATATATTGTATTGTATTTGAATACTTTGCTTTGGCAATATTGTTTTTTAAAAACTTTCATGCCAATAAATAAAGCCCATTTTGAATTGAAAAGAGAGAGAGAGACAGAGACAGACAGACTTGCTGAACAAAACAGGGTCTTAACCATTGACATATATAAAGCTCTCTGAAAGTGAAGCCTAAATCTCTTTAACGCCCCCCAGTGGCTGACTGCAGAACATGTTAGCAGATGGGACAGGGCCAATAAATCAAACTACACGTCAAATAAATTTCTCCCAAAGATGGTTTCTGGTAGTTCTTACCACGCTGATGTATGTTCAAGTGTTAATTTTTTTGATCAGTTGATTAGTATTATTATTATTATTAGCTATAAAAAGAGGGGTTTCACGCTATGATTGACACCTGAGCCCTGCTTGTGATGGTGTATAGTGGTGTACGGGCGGAACTTTGATGCCGTGGTTCCAACTCCTATAACAACTGTGCAGACTCTGGATAGTTTGGCTTCATTTTTGTACAGTGGGAGGAAGTGGAGACACATCATCCATCTTTCATATGTCGATTGTCTGAACTGAAAAGTATCATAAACCTTTATGATTTACCATAGCCCTCAGTTTATTTTGTGCAGTAATCCAATATCCAATGGAAAAATCACAGTGGCTTTTTGCTGAAGGAACCAGGGCAATGTGAACTTCCTGGTTGGCCTACAGAAATACGGCATCCCTGCAGCACTCAATTGTCAGGTTGGAACAGGAGCAGGACAAACAGACTGCTGACAGAGAGTTGGGAGAACACTGTTGTCTGAAGCCGTCTGAACTGCTACCGTTATCCCTGCTGTTGTTTCACTCCTGATCTGTGCCTCGTGGTGTCACCATCAGATCCGAGCTCTTGATAAGATGACGGTGGAGCGAGTGTCGGCAGAGAGGAGCGAGTGTCTACAGAGGATCGAGCAGCGGGCCCTGCAGGAGAGGCTGGAGGCAGAGAAGAGACAGGTAATACTAGCAACCAGCACAGTGAGTCTGAAGTCATCACTGGTCGATCCATAACCCTGTGAACACAGCAGCACATGGCGTTTACAGTGCTGTGGGAACGTTGTGTAGCTTTACATTTATTGCAAGTATGAATTTGGTTTGAGATCTATACCTGCTGTATTTGCTTTTCACTCTGGTAAATTCATGTAGAGAAGTAAATAAAGAGGCTGTACAGAAGTAGAGCTTGGTTCCGTGCTGCGCTTGGCTGTTCTCACCATAGCCCATTTTTCCACAGCGGTCTCAGGGGAGCAGAAAACCTCAGTGATCTTTTATGTACAACAGTGTGACGTGATGTAGAAATTTGCCTTAAATTTTTATCAGCAGCTGCTCCTCTCAATAAAGGTTCCATAAAGTCATAGAACCCCTTCTGTGTGGTGTTATGTGCCCTTCAAGCAGGCGTCCCTGGTCAGTGAGCTGAAGAGCTGGTGTCTGTCCAAGCTGCAGAACATGGAGGTCCGCTTCACCGGAGACCCCAGCGGCAGCACCAAGCTGCGGCGCTCCTCCTCTGCGGCCGAGGGCCTGAATGAAACCGACGGAGCCAGCCTCACCGTGCTGTCTTCTGCCCAGGCTGGCAGCTCCCAGTGCCTGGAGCTCCACGACAGCCCCGTCCCCCTGGACTCAGGCCGGGGGGAGGCCACTGTGGCAGAGGGCGGCTCGGCCAACCACTACTTTGTGGTTCACGTGGAGAGCTCTCCAGGTAACGCCTCACCAACCACAAGCTCTCAAAGGGACTCAAATCTTTATTTATTCCACATCAAACAGCCTGGAAATGAATGCTAAAATATACACTACATATAATCAGGCCAAAAAATGCCAGGGTTTGTGCAGCTTTCAACAGGTTACATTTAAGACTTTTTAGGACCATATTAAATGCAATTTAATACATATTTTATCTCCATACTGGCTAAAAAGAATGAAGGAAAATTGGAAGTAGAATCTTCAAAGCCTAAAATTCAGATTATTGGATTTGTTTAGACACCCTGCTCTCAAAAATATCAGTAGTTAAATAATAGCAAGCAGAAATGTCTTAAATTACTAAATGCGTGATAATTGTAAAAAGAAATTTGTGAAGAACAGGTTTTTTTGTGCAGATAATTAACAATTATCTCAACCAATGAGTAATAAAGTATAAAGGTATAGTCGAGTAAACTCTTTAACAATTTAATAATCATTTTGGCCTGAATAACTAGAGGCCGACCAATAGGGACTATTTAGACCGAGACTGAATTAATCAATGATATGGTGGCTGAATTTCTGAGCTGAAATCAAAATTTGAATTGTGTCTCAATATGACTCAAAGGTACTCCGGAGGCTGCTTTCTTAAACAAATGACTTTATTATAGAATATTTCAGTTGAATATAATTTAACATACATTCCAAATCAATTCTAGCTGACATTGCTAAGAGCGGCTTCCTTCTTTAGTTAACACAGGTGTATGAGAGAACAGTGCATGAGCTGTTTATTTAGAATAACATTGCTGGCAGAGAGAACCATCTGAATGAGAGAATACTGTACTGGGTTCTGACTGAATGTCTGTTGAACACTGAACAGATGGTGATAAGGCTCAGACTACAGAAGTCACCTCTCCTGCAGCAGCCAAGAGCCCGCTGTCATCAGTTCAGGTGGTTAGGCCGAAGGAGCGTTCGGTCATCTCCATCGACACCCAGAAGAAGAACCAGGACCAGCAGGATGTGGAGCACGGGGCGAGGGCGGGCAGGAATCACAGAGCCAGCAGCCTGTCTCCGGCCACAGAGCGCCGCTGCAGCAGCAGGACTGAAGCTGGCCTCAGAGACAGGGAGCGAGGGCGGGACAGAGGGAAGCACCATAAGAAGCATTCCCAGGGCAGGACTAAGTCCAGGGGGGCCACAGG